CTTCTTCTTCTTCTTCTTCTTCTTCTTCTTCTTCTTCTTCTTCTTCTCCTTCTCCTTCTCCTTCTCCTTCTCCTCCTCCTCCTCCTTCTTCCTCCTCCTCCTCCTTTCTTCTTCCTCCTCCTCCTCTTCCTCCTCCTCCTTCTTTCCTACAAATCCTACTCCCTTCTAGTGCTAATAATTGAAACGTCTTCAAGAAAACAATCCATCTCAGAGACCACCAAAGACCCCTCAATTTCAACCCTGACCTACAAATATTCTCCTTTATCCAGACAAGGAAACACACACACACCTTATAAAATCTGGGTCATCAATATGGGGCTAAAACTAACATTCTTAGGATGGGTGGTCAGTTCACTGAGCTGGGGGTGCCTTCTTGTGTGTATGCACACAGCACCCCTCTTCCAATAAGCCAATTGCACGTGTGGCATTAATCAGAGTCTTCCTAACAGCTTCTCATTATGTAAATTTCCATCATGGAAACACGGAGAAAAGGTCACAGGAAGCAAAGGGTAATCTGAAATTTAATTCACATCAATGTTATCAAAATTTGATCGTTGCTGATTTGCGGATAAAATATAGTTTTGTTACAGTACATGAGATGCCAATTCCTCTTACACAACAAACAGATTTAGGCAGCTGCCAAAGCAATTGCATTGAACCTCAATTCATCCGGATCGCGTTCCATGAATTTCTTGCATACTTCTACGGCGTCCTAGGAAGAACACACAAAGAGATAAACCACATGCACAATATCATCGTCTCTGCCTACACAACCATTTTCATTGATACCAGGTTGCCTCTAAGGGGCTCTGCTACATGGCCTTGAGATACCTATGCTGTCTCCATAAATCACATAACTAAATTCACGATTTCTCACAAACGCTTTTGGAAACAGGAACTGTAGTTTTCCTATACAGGTAGTCCTCGAATTACAGCCACAATGGAACCTAACGTTTTCGGGGATTAAGCGAAACATTTGTGGAGTGAGTTCTGCCCCGTTTCACAACCTTTTTCGTCACCGTTGTTCCCTGCTGCTTTCTGGAAGGAAACCCAATAAAATGACCAATAAAACCCAATAAAGCGGCTGAGAATTCCTACCTCTAAAAACGTGTCGACACTCGACCGCCCGTGGTTTATCGGGAAAGGCTTGCGTCCATCTGTTGGGATGGAGAAAAGCCATACTTCATTGCTCAGAAAAGAACCCAACTCCCACAGATGCCTCCCACTAATCCCGAGCCAAAAAAAACCAACTTATAAGGTCATGCCATCCACCAATTACCATCACTTTAAAAACGGCACCTGGGGGAGTTCCGGTTTGCAGCGCTTTGGGGCAGGCAGGAATCCGCGATCGTGCGCGGTTTCTGCCTGCGCTTGCCGCTGGAGTGCCCCGAGCCAGCCGACTTTGGGGCTAAGCCACCCCGTAGAGGTGGTGAAGACAGGGGAGACCTGGCAGGCTGCTTTCAGAAAAGATGTTTTATGTTTCCATGTTTTATGTTTTGTTTGTCTTTGTCTTTGAAAATCAATAAAATTTGTTTAAAAACAAAAAACCGCACCTGGCACCTCTAAGCCCGCTCCCGATGCAGGGGACCCAAGATTGGAAAGTCTTCTCCTTCTTCCTTATCTTTATCTGCATTCTAAATACGGTGATTCCAAATTGCTGGAATTTCTTCGGCATCTGATCTTATGAATGCCTGAAAAGTCCCAGGCTGGTCTAGAGCAGGTGTGTCAAAAGTGGATTTCATTGAGGGCCGCAGGGCTGTAGTTGACCTTGGGGGGGGGGGGGGGCGTGACCAGGGGGGACGACATCACTCGTATTGGGCCAGTTCGACATCACTCATATCGTGGTGGTGGGAGGTGCCTATGGAGACCCAAGAGCTCTGCCAGCGAAAACGGGTTCCCAAGCTCCGTTTTTGGCTGCGACGGCTTCCGGCAACACTCTGCCCGTGAAAACGGAGCTCGGGAGGGTTGCATGCGGTCCTCCCGAGCTCTATTTTCATTGGCAGAGGCACTGTGGGCCGGTCCTTCGCTGTTTCCAGGGTGACCTCATGGGCCATATCTAAGCACCCCGGGGGCTGGATTCGGGCCTCGGGCCTTGAGTTTGACACCTCTGGTCTACAGCAAAGAAGGATAGGGATGACATGATAGCAGTGCTCCAGTATTTGAGAGGTAGCCACAACGAGGAGGGGGGTCAACTTATTTTCCAAAGCAACAGAAGGCAAGATAAGAAACGATGGAAACAGATCAAAGAGAGAAGCAACCTGGAATTAAGGAGAAACTTCCGAACAGTGAGGACAGTTCACCAGTGGAACAGTTTCTCTCCAGAAGTTGTGGGTATTTCATCACTGGAGGTCTTTACGAAGAGATGGGATAACCATTTGTCTGAAATGGTATAGGGTCTTGCTTGAGCAGGGGGCTGGACTAGAAGACCTCCAAGGTCCCTTCCAGCTCTATTCTTAATAGAATAGAATAGAATAGAATAGAATAGAATAGAATAGAATAGAATAGAATAGAATAGAATAGCTTTATTGGCCAAGTGTGATAGGAGTGGAGTGGAGTGGAGTGGAGTGGAGTGGAGTGGAGTGGAATGGAATGGAATGGAATAGAATAGAATGAGAAAGAATGGAATGGAATGAAATGGAATGGAATAGAATAGAATAATAGAATAGAATAGAATAGAATAGAATAGAATAGAATAGAATAGAATGGAATGGAATGGAATGGAATGGAATGGAATGGAATGGAACGGAATGAGAAAGAATGGAATGGAATGGAATGGAATGGAATAGAATAGAATGAGAAAGAATGGAATGGAATGGAATGGAATGGAATGGAATAGAATAGAATAGAATAGAACAGAATGGAATGAGAAAGAATGGAATGGAATGGAATGGAATAGAATGAGAAAGAATGGAATGGAATGGAATGGAATGGAATAGAATAGAATAGAATAGAATAGAATAGAATAGAATAGAATAGAATAGAATAGAATAGAATAGAATAGAAGTAAGGGGTAGGGGTAGGGAAGGGAAGAGAATTAGGATTAGAATTAGAATTAGAATAGAATTCTTTATTGGCCAAGTGTGATTGGACGCACAAGGAATTTGTCTTGCTGGTCTCAGTGTGCATAAAAGAAAAGATACCTTCGTCAAGAGTCAAGAATCATCAGGTACAACACTTAATGATAGTCATAGGGTACCATAAGCAATCAAATCATACTAGGAAACAGTTAATATAGATCGTAAGGATACCAGAGACAAAGTTACAGTCATACAGTCACACGTGGGAGGGGATGGGTGATAAAGGAGTCATGAGGATATTATTAAGGACATCTCCAGGTCCAGTTATTCCCTTTAAAGCCAACAAGAGGCCCATCCTTTCTGTGTGAGAAATCCAGAGGTAGGCTAGGTTGTAACTGAACCATGTGAAGGGATACTTCATGGCATTGCTTTTTCCAACCCAACTTAATTTAGCAGCCAAGGATACGAAGCCAGTTTTCTACCACTGCAGAAGCACTGATTCTGCCAAGCCAGACTGTGACCATTTCCAGGTCCTGCAAATCACTTAACTGGGCAACCCTTTTTATCTTTCTGTCACAGGTGAATCTGAAACCGGATTGAAAATGCCACAAACGCTTCGTTTACTCACGTGGCTAACCTCCGAAAGGAGGGACCATCCAACAAGCAGCCCAGCTGAACAGCAGCGCCACACACACTCACCCCGTTGCGCAGACCAAGTGCCTCTGAATTCCTCTCCCGGTATATTCTGGGAAATGGCATTTGAACGAGCCATTGAGAAATGCAAACTGCCCACTTTCTATAACGCAGCTGAAGCTTCTCTCTGAACTCAGCCCCCACCCACCCCGGGACCAAAGAGCACCAGAAAGCAAGACGAGGTGCCAAAGCACCAGAAGGCAAGACCAAACACAACGGATGGAAACTAATCCAGGAGAGAAGCAACCTGGAATGAAGAAGAAACTTCCTAATAGTGAGAAGAATAAACCAGTGGAACACCTTTCCTTCAGAAGTTGTGGGTTCTCCATCACTGGAGGCTTTTAAGAAGAGATTGGACAGCCATTTGCATGAAATGCTATAGGGTTTCCTGCTTAAGCGAGAGGTTGAAGTAGAAGACCTCCAAGATTCCTTCCAACTCTGCTGTTCTGTTATTCTGTTAAGAACCAGCCCATCATCCGGACACATCTGAAGCAACAAGCTTTTAAGATTTTTCTTCCTATGGTCTTGTTTCCTTATTTGGGTGGCTCCGTTTTCTGATATCTGAAGGCTTAACCTGGAACTTCTCTCCAAGTCCCCATTAGCTATGGTGTACCAGATGCTTAAGGCCTGACCTGAACGTCCACCTCCCAACCCGAGATTGTGCATGCTTGAAGTCTTCTTCCAAAATTGAATGGGGACACACTCTCTTCTCTTCCCAACACTCCTCTTTCACATGACCACTTCAAAGCTGGGTGAGAATAGGAATAGGAATACTTTTATTGGCCAAGTGTGATTGGATAAGAATGGAATGGAATGGAATAGGAATACTTTTATTGGCCAATTGTGATTGGATAAGAATGGAATGGAATGGAATAGGAATACTTTTATTGGCCAATTGTGATTGGGTTGGGTTGGGTTGGGTTGGGTTGGAATGGAATAGTATTGCAGGCTAATTCTGCCGACTGCCTGCAATTTGATCATCAAGAGGTCCTTTCTCTTGCTGATGAGCTAGGACGCTGGAATGAAATGAAACCAGATTCTAGAAGTATAATGAAGGCAATTTGGATCATAAATTACTGCAAGGTTTCTGCAAAAGAAGGCCACACACTGATTCCCCCCCCCCCCCAATTGGTTTCCCCTGGCACTTGGCCATGCAATTTATTTTACCTCATTTTATCAACCCTGGAAGGATGGAAGGCTGAGTCAACCCTGAGCCGGTCAAGTTCGAACTCCTGGCTGTGTCCAGAGTTAGCTTGCAATACTGCATTCTAACCACCACTTAGATGTTGGACACCTAAATGCTCCTGGGCGCTGTGATTGCACAGATCAAAACATTAGAGACAGACAGACCATTTTAGATTAAAGGTTATTGATTAAACAATAGTGAAAATACAAAGCCATTTGGATTGGGTTGTGATGGCGTGGTGGTTAGAGTGCAATGTTAGAGTGCAATGTTGCAGACTTTACTGCCCACTGCCAGGAGTTCGATTCTCACCAGGCTCAAGGTTGACTCAGCCTTCCATCCTTCCGAGGTGGGTAAAATGAGGACCCAGGTTGTTGGGGGCAAGGGGTTAGCTCTGTAAACCACTTAGAGAGGGCTGTAAAGGACCGTGAAGCAGTATAGCAATAGCAATTAGACTTATATACCACTTTGTACTGCTTTACAGTTTACAGAGTCAGCCTATTGCCCCCAACAATCTGGGTCCTCATTTTACCCACCTGGGAAGGATGGAAGGCTGAGTCAACCTTGAGCCTGGTGGGATTTGAACAGCCAACAGTCAGCAAGTGGCCTGCAGTACAGCACATATAGAAGTCTAAGTGCTATTGCTTCTCCACTGACAAGGCGAACACTTGAATAAATGGCACTGAAGTCAGCCAGCACAGACTGTGGAGGGTACTGGATCCAGGGTTCTTACCTAGTTCATAAAGAATGCCGTCCACATTCACTAAAGCGATGAAATGAAGATCTATTTTGTCATCTATACTTGGTGCCTGCAAGAAAGAAGACGAGATTCGTACAAGTGATCAGCAGAACGCTTGCCTGTAGACTTGAAAAAGAAATTAATTCTATTCAGAAACTCATTCCAACCCCAGAAAAAAACCTAGATCCGAGTTTTAGCATATCTGCTCCTCCCGTGCTGGGTAATTCCTTCATTACTGGCATTTTGGTGACCCACAAAGATCACATTTTTTTTCCAGGTGGCCTTTGGGGAAGAGATTCTGGTTTGGGGCTACATCATCTTGTGCAACAGTCTTCAAACCTGGCAAGACTTGTGGACTTCAACTCCCAGAATTCCTGAGCTTACCATGACTGGAGGAGGAATTCTGGGAGTTGAAGTCCACAAATCTTAAAACTGTCAAGTTTGAAGACCCCTGATCTAGTGCGTTGTTCCGAAGGTGCTTTTTCAAAAGGCAACTGGTGATTTTCCTTGAAGACGTTTTGCTTCTCATCCATTAAACTTCTTCAGTTCTTGGATGAGATGTGAAACGTCTTCGAGGAAAAACAAAGAAAGTCCAGTTGCCTTTTTGGGGAAAAAAAAAAACATCTTTGGGACAACCATGTCTTGGATGGCTGAGAATCTCTATAGACATCCAATGCATTCTTGTTGATGACGGAAACTGTAGTTTCATTATCAAGTGACGTGCTTTTTCTTCCTACACTAGTTTCCATTTTTGCTCTCTTGCATTATTTCAATGAATTGGAAGCTGCCTGGAGTGGAATGAAGCTGCTTTGAAATCTCAGTAAATAAATATACGTGTGGAAATGTATAGACCCAAAGGATTTCCACCCCCCACCCTTCCATATAAACTGAATTTCTGTCACCTTGTCTTGCACATGATTGATAAATGCCCAATATCCATCTCCAGGAAACCCTCAAACATGAAGACATGAAACATCTCAAGAAGGTCTCTGTGGTCTAAATTTATCCTACTCTGCAGCACACATACGTGAAACTTGTGACTGCAGATGTGGTTTATGAAGATTATTGGAAGAAGCACAGTAGCAAGTCAGACACCACGGAACTTAGCTGGGACTTGCAGCCCAAAAGAACATAAAATATCATCCCATTCATGTCAGAGTCACCGGTTAAGGTGCTTCTGGGTTGAAAGGATTAGCTGGTGACATCACTAGTCAGCCTCCAAGAATCCTTCTTCTGCTTGTCTTTCCAACTGCCATAGAAATGGGGTGGAGGGAAGATTAATTGGGCTTCGTGAGGGGAAGAGTGCTGGAGGTTTGAGTTGGTGAAATGAAAAAGTTGGGAGCTTTCTTGACTATGTTTTCTTGCTTACTGTGCAGATGTAGCCTCTTATCTATTCAGGCCCAGGTCAACCATCCTGGCGTGCCAGATGTCTGAAACACCACCTGAAGATGCCCCAACTGACATTATATACATCTCAGATTGGATGGCCAGTTTCAACTATTGGGGGTGGGAACATTGACATAACTTTCTATATGTGATTTTTGTGCCTATTGCCTTAGATCTTGTATTCTTCTGATGCTACCACTTCAATTTTCAGTCAAAGTCCTTTCCTCTGTAACAATGGAGTCTTAAGGTCTTCTTTTGTGGATTTTGAATGGCGCCTCACCTGACAGTATACCAGACCTCTTGTTGCATGGGAAATGCCCATGGGGGCTCCTTTCATATCCCCATCAAGGAGCTGGAGCGAATGACGGGAGCTCACCCCACACCACACAGCACTCTGAACTCGAACGCAGGCTCGCTAACCTCCAAACCCAGTGTTTTAACCATGTGACTCGCTGCATGAATAAATGAATAAGGGATAGTTTCCCCCTATCTTTATTCTACCCTGATCATATTCTCTATCTACACTCCATCCTTCCCTCTGCCATTTGCTCTGCAAAAAAAGCCCAGCCAACTGTTCTTGGAGATTTCACTACTTGGTAGAAATCCTGACTCTCACGTTGTAAAAAAAAAAAACACAGGAAGCACATAATATACCCAATTACTTGAAAGGTGGAGAAAAAAACCCCAAACAAACCCGCAAGCCAAAGAAGGAGCGATCCTCTTGACTGGCACAGAAAGAAGGCTGCTGCTGGCGTTTGGAGAACACCAAGAACAGCTCAGAATCCTGAAGTCACCTTTTGCACCGCTCCTTAAAAAAGACCTCGGTTGAAGAACAGAAGGAGAAGAGACCACGATGAAGCAGCCCGGATAGGAGAGATACCACCAGGGAACCCAAAGAAGCCAAAGCTCAAGAAACCAAGCAGACCAGCCACGGAAGGTCTGCAAGGCCAACAAAAGCGCCAACCGGGAGGGAGAAAAGAAATCCCAAGGAAGTTGGAGCAGCCGTTACTTCCTTGAATGTTTCAGGGGTGGCTCCCATGGAGGTTTCCATGAAGGCAGCAAAGCTGCAGAGATTGGGGCTTGCTGGGCCCCTGAAGGACGAAAAGCAAGGCCAGAGGGAGGCTTCCCAGAGGCCTGAGGTGGGAGGGAGGGGAGCTGCAGCATGGCCCCTGCGAGCAGAGAGGGAAGAGGAACCAGACTTACGGCCGGGGGGTTCCCCACAGACGAGAATGGGACCGTAGGCCGCCAACACTGCAGGCAGACGGGAGGGCTTGTGGCCTCTATGGGGCTGGTGGCTTTGGCACAGGCCACGGGGCTGTGTCTGATCAGGGTCAGGGAGGCGGAGCGACGCAAGGCCGAGGCTTTCATTTTGCAGTGGCTAAACTCAGGCTGGGTTGAGGAGGAGGAGAAGCCGGGCAAAGACTATACAAATATTGAAAAAAGACACACTTTACAAGTGGAGTTTGTACTCGGCAACGTAGCCCAAAGCAAGCGGCTCTCGACCGGCTGCCATTTTACACCCCACAAAAACCAGCATCATATGTTTTTCTAAGGACAGGCATTTGTAGCAGAGGTGGCATTCAGCAAGTTCTGACCAGTTCTGGAGAACTGGTAGCAGAAATTCTGAGTAGTTCAGAGAACCGGCAAATACCATCTCTGACTGGCCCTGCCCCCATCTATTCTCTGGCTCCCGAGTCCCAGTTGATCGGCTGGGTCTTCTTTGGTTGCCCTGCACAGGAGAACGGAGCTGGAAAGCAGGTCAGTGGGGCGGGCAGGGAATGGGATTTTGCAGGAACCTTCCCCCAAGAGTGGGGAGGGAAGGGAGATTTTATAGTATCCTTCCCCTGCCACGCCAACCAAGCCAAGTCCACAGAACCAGTACTCATTTTTTTTTTAATCCTACCGATTTGTAGGCATGAGGGGTCCTTGGTGCCCTCTGTTTTCTTGCAGAAGGTTTCATTACTCAAACTAGGCAACATTATCAGTGCTAGGAGGTCCATTGTGTTTATATTGTGCATAAGTGCACAATCCTGCCTATCGTCCCTGTCCTATTATCCCCAATTATTAGTACATATTTCATGTATTTATATTTATGTTTATTCTTATTTCTATTATATTGTAAGCATTTGACAAATACACACACACACACACACACAAGTGGCTTGCCCTATAGTACTGATGATGTTGCCTAGCTGGGTAATGAAACGTCTGCAAGAAAAGAAGCAAGCTCAGAAAGCATCAAAGGACCCTTCATTTCTCGACCCTGAGCTAACAAACATTCTCCTTTATTGATATCATCCGCAATCAGTCAAAATTAATTTGCTCGTGTCCAAGGAAGACCTTCCCAGGGTGTTGGACCTTCCTCCCACTTCGAGCTTGGATTTCCCACTTGGTGGCCATTTCTGACCGAGCTTCTCTTATTTCCCTCATACTACGTCGTGTGCTTTGCATTTTGGGAGGGTGTAAAAACAGCTGCGAAGCGAAGAGGGCAGCCGCATGGCCACCGTAACTTGGCTCTTCTGGTCAAAGAGAGCCCCCATCTATCTGCTGAACTGCCGGCTGGAGACCAAATCAGGAGGCCTGGCTGTGAGGGAGGCCATTTTGCGTCCCCCTCCAAATCCGAGCTATGACTGGACAATCCTTTGCAAAGTCTGCTTCACCCCCGCCCAACTTCTGGCCTAGTGTGATGTGGGAATAGGGGGTGAATTCCTCCCAGGTGAGGCCTTCTGGAGCCTGAAAGGCCTTTATCTGGATCTCCTGCTTGAGGGGGTTGGACTAGAAGACCTCCAAGGTCCCTTCCAGCTCTATTCTGATTGATTGAGGATCAATGCTGCTCATGAACCTTCCCAGAAGCAGGAAGCATTTTTCCATCATCCTGAAGGCAAGGGCACTCAGGCCCTCTTCATCTGGCAGCAGCTGCTTGGCCTCCCCGGAGCGAAAATGCCAAGGCTGAATGAAGCTCTACATTCCTTCACCCTGGCCCGCTCTGGCAGGGGGGGAAGGGCTTGGCTTCCTCAATCCCTCTTGTTTTTTCCTTCTCCCGCGATGGTCGACCCAAAGGCATTTTCGAGTGTTGCCTTTGTTGGTCTGGTGTGGCCTTTAGGAGGAAATGGCTTTTCCAGCAGGTGAACTTTCGCTTTGAAAAACAAGGCTCAGGAATGCAGGCGGAGGCGAGAGATAAGGGAGGCCATAAAAGTCCCTGGGCCTTTGGACGTGCCAGGAAAGCACAATCAAGAAAGGAGGGTCCCTCACGTCCCCTCGATCCATCAATCAGAATAGAGCTGGAAGGGACCCTGGAGGTCTTCTAGTCCAACCCCCTGCTCCATCCAGCAGGAGACCCTAGGCCACTTGAGAAAGGAGGCCTTACTGAAAAACCTCTAGGGATGAAGCCCCTACAACCTCTGGAGGCAAGCTCTTCCACTGGTTCATTGTCCTGTTTGGAAATTTCTCCTTAATTCCGGGTTGCTTTTCTCCTTGATGAGTTTCCATCCATTGTTTTTTTTATCTTGCCTTCTGTTGCTTTGGAAAATTAGTTGACCTCCCTCTTCTTTGGGGCAGCCCCTCGAATAGAGGAATACCACTATTATGTCCCCCCTAGTCCTTATTTCTCTAGACTGGCCTACATACTTAATTCCTGCAACCTTTGTTCGTATGTTTTTGTCTCCAGGCCTTTAACCGTCTTAG